CAACCACAACACACACACAACCACACAGACACACACAACCAACAGACACACACACAACCACACACACACACAACCACACAGACACACACACACAACCACAGACACACACACAACCACACAGACAACCACACAGACACACACAACCACACAGACACACACACAACCACACAGACACACACAACCACAAACACACACAACCACACAGACAACCACACAGACACACACAACCACACACACACACACACAAACACACACACAACCACACAGACAACCACACAGACACACACAACCACACAGACACACAACCACACAGACACACACACAACCACACACACACAACCAAACAGACACACACACAACCACACACAGACAACCACACAAACACACAGACACACACACAACCACCACACAACAAACAACCACACACAACAACAACCACACACACACACACACAACCACACACACACAACCACACAGACACACACAACCACACACACACAACCACACACACACACACACAGACAACCACACAACAAAACACAACCACACGACACACACAACCACACACACACACACACAACCACACAGACACACACAACCACACACACACACACACAACCACACACACACACACAACCACACAGACACACACACACACACACACACACACAACCACACAACCACACACAGACAACCACAGACACACACACAACCACACACACACACACAACCACAGACACACACAACCACACAGACACACACAACAAAAGACACACACACAACCACACAGACACACACACAACCACACAGACACACACACAACCACACACACACAACCACACAGACAATCACACACAACCACACAGACACACACACAACCACACAGACACACAACCAACAGACACACACACACAACCACAGACACACAAACAACCACACAGACACAAACACAAACACACACAACACATAACCACACAGACAACCACAACCACACAGACACACACACAACCACACAGACACACACAACCAAGACAACCACACAGACACACACACAACCACACAGACACACACACACAACCACACACAGACAACCACACAGACACACACAACCACACAGACACACACTCACAACACACACAGACAACCACACAGACACACACAACCACACACAGACACACACACAACCACACAGACACACACACAACCACACACACACACAACCACACAATCACACAGACAACCACACAGACACACACACAACCACACAGACACACACACAACCACACAGACACACACACAACCACACAGACACACACACAACCACACACACACACAATCACACAGACACACACACAACCACACAGACACACACACAACCACACAGACACACACACACACAACCACACAAACACACACAACCACACAGACACACACACAACCACACAGACACACACACAACCACACAGACACACACACAACCACACAGACACACACACAACCACACAGACACACACACAACCACACAGACACAACCACAGACACACACACAACCACACAGACAACCACACAGACAACCACACACACAGACACACAACACACACACAACCACACAGACACACACAACCACACACAGACACACACACACAACCACACAGACACACACAACCACACAGACACACACACACACAACACACAGACACACACACAACCACAGACACACACAACCACACAGACACACACACAACCACACAGACACACACACAACCACACAGACCACCGAATTCCAAGAAGTACCTGGCGTTCCTCTGGGAACCCAGGTCAGCCTGTCATGGACCCCATACCAACTTCCTCCCACCGGAATATCAACAAGTTCTTGCCAGAAGTTTCTATTTCATTTAGGAAAGGAATGGAACCAGTGTTGAATAGTGGTGAAAAGTGCTTAAGTCGGTGAAAAACAACTCAACAGTAACAACTGAGTTGTACCGAAGCTAACCTTCACACAGTGAGGTCCCAGGTACCCAGTGATAACTGCCCCTGAGACTCAACACCAGCTATGTGTTAATCCGTCCACGATAGGGAGGGCTGGGACCACACCTCACTCACTTGAGTGAGGTCCTGTGACACCAGACCACGTGGTGTCCCCTTGTTGCTACTACACCATGTAGTGAATGAGTTTTCACAGCATCATGTAAGGTTCCCGATAACACCACCTATGAGGGAATTACTACACCATGTGAGGTCCCTCATAACACCATTTGAGGGAATTACAGTACTATTACTGCACCACGTCGGGTTCCTCATAACGCCATCTGTGAGGGAACTACTACACCACGTCAAGCCCCTCATAACACCATCTGTGAGGGAACTACTACACCACGTGATGCCCCTCATAACACCTTCTGTGAGGGAGTTACCACACTACATGTCTGCTGTTCAACACCTCGGCGCACATGATCTACTGTAAACATTAATCTGTATGTTCACTGTTTGTTCCTTCACCTTTCTCTAATGAAGGCTTTTGTTAAACCACCAATGTATGTAATAAGTCATTTATGTCCAATGTATATTTTCAGCCTTCGGGCTACAGAACTTTTTCAATAAACCGTTAATTATTATTATTATTATTATTATTATTATTAGACACACACACGGGAATTCGGGAATTAGCCATTTGTGGGGGGGGGGTCTCAGTCACTTTTACCCCTCAGTAGACCCGTCTCCCTCTGGCTAGGAGGTGGGGAGATTAACGCCTTCTCAAGGATTATGAAAGGCAGGGGTTTTAAAAAAAAATGGGGCTGTTAAAATGCCATTGGCTTGACTTAAGAAGATATAACTTGCGTTGCTGGAATTCTTGTAAGATAGTAATTAATTTGAGTATAAATATCCCTTAGTTTGCACCAGACATGATACTTTTAGTTAATAACTTCGTGCATTTGAGTATAGGTTGTGATAATTTATGTGGTTGCAGTTTTAGAGTTATGTGACATCACTAGTGTATAATGAGTCTCCATATGTCCTGGTTTATTCATTGATCAGTTGTCTTAGTGCAAAAGTAGCCCACTCAAGCCACCATGTATCAATTAATTTTAAAATAGAAATTATAATGTAAAATGTTATAAGACAATGGTTTAGTGAGTATCTAGCAAGTTTCAGCATGCGCCACATGACCGATAGTGAACAATATCTTATTGGCCTAATTCACTAGTTATTTCAAAGTAAAAGATGTCTGATACTGGGAATGTCTGAAATAGAGAAGTCCCTTATTGTGAGGGTTTTCTGTATTTATTGGCTATTTAAAAATGTGTTTTTATTTAATTTTTCCAGTTCAAATTCTTGCGGAAGAAGCTGCTGGATTGGACGAACTCGACCTTGGTGCAGCAAGGGAAATTTTGTCTAAAGCCCAGTCTGAGGCAAGCAGTGCTGCCAGTGAAGAGGATAAAGCAAAGGCCTTGATTACAGTGGAAGTAGCTGAAGAATTGGTGAAGGCTGCTGAATCTGGATAAGTTCCAGCAAAATTGTATAAAGTAATTCTCTACTTCAAAGCTAACACAGCAGTTTTATAATGTCTGATATTTATCTTGTGACAAGTTGTAGAATGTACAGTATATTTAGTCAAAGGTAAACAATAGACACACAGTTTTTCCATTTCCTTTCATTCCAAGAATTTTCAATTTTTTTTTTTAAACATATTCAAGGGAAAACTTTAATCTTAATGACCGATTTGTAAGGTATTGTCAAATTTGATGTAAATAAATAAGGTGAAATTTGTTTTGACAATTTTATATGTTGTACTGTATTTATTATCCAGTAAACTTTAACTTCTGCATCATGTGCTGGGTAATGGACGAGTTGACGGTTGGAATTTTTTCGAAAGATAGCAGGTCAACGGGTAAAGAAAATGCTTAAATTCACTATGGTAATGATATTTTTAAACACATTGCTCCAAAAAGTGTCAAAAATAAGGGTTAAAGTTGCTAAAAAGTCAGGTGACTGCGAAAAGCTGTGATTGGTTGTGACGTCTCTGGTTGGGGGTGAGCTTCCCAGAGGGAGGCAGCCAGCTGTAGTTGTCCAACCTTCTCAGCTGATAGGCTCAGTAAAAATATTATTAAATAATTAATTGTGCTTTACTGTGCAACTCAGCAATATTGTATTGAGTATATAAATATTACTAAGCACATAAACTAATTCAATGGATATTAGCTGCCCATACAACAAATTTCATTGTATAAACATTCCAAACAATATTGGTATTATTTTGGTTTTGGTCATCTGGGGAACCTTAAGATTCTAACTATGGGATTAAGTACTTTTAACAATAAGACACATTATCTCTACAGGATTTCTAAATCAAAACATTTTTCGATCGCATAAGAAAATACAGATCATAGGTTAGGTTAGGTTAGGGTATGATGAGTTATAAGGTTAGCTTAACATACGTACATCGGTAAGGGCGGGTAGTAACACAAACTAGTGATTTCCGATAGAAATGAAGGTCTAAATCATTCATAACACATCGCAAACCATAAGAAAAAATAACATAAGTCTACATGTCTAAGTACAGGGATGACTAAAATTTACCCAATACTGTACAGTGTATAACTTATCTCGAATCTAAACAGCAAAATATTTATCGTAGTTATAGTAAAATTTTACCCATTTTAATATAAATGATATATCCCAGTGGTTCATTAGTGAATCATTAAAACAATAACAGCACTATGTTGTCATGTCACCCGGCGTTATCATAACAAAGTTCAGGCAATGTCATCGCTTCTAAATTTACTTGTATCTTCATCTAGTACTGATATACTCTGTAAATGCAGTGGAAAAAAAAAAGTCTACCAGGTAAGAATACATGACAGCTGAGCTGATATGAACATAGTAGTTTTTTAACGTCCAAAAGAGCATAAGAATGGAGGAAACTGCAGCGGGTCTATTGGCCCATACTGGGCAGTCCCATTTACACCCAACCCCTATTGCACATATATCCATCCAACCTATGTTTGAGCTGCTCTACACGGCACATTTCTTCAGTTACGAAGTGTTCATGAGTTAGACCATAAAAAAACACCCTTAAAACTTACCTCCAACTGCAGCGATGAGTTTGAAACCAGTGACGTCATTGCAAATGGCGGTCCTGTTTCTAGAGAAATAAACTTATCTCAACTATTATAGCAGGACTTTAAACTTTTATTACAAATTATATATACCGTATCACTCTACGAACGTGGCAGAGTGTATGTCTTGTGTTTACCCAGAACCGTCAACTCGTCCTTTCTGACATGTAATTTCATCATGACACTCCCACGGCGATAGTTGTTTGATAAAACAGTCCTTACAAGAAAAGGGTACCTCGCAGAAATAACAACTTAAGTACTGTACACTAACACAATTGATACAGTACACAAAGAACATGCAAAAATGAACTGCAGATACCTTCAAGTAACCTGGTATCTAGGGGAGTTATTGATTTAATCCTAGAATTTTTAATTTAAGTTCTAAGATGCTTTTATCCTTCTACCCAACTGATAAGGGTACAGGACAGGTCGTCCTTGTCTCCTTTCACCAGCAGATATTACCAGGTACAATATAGTGATAATTCACATAGCAAACACTCAAATACAACAACAATGGCAGGCAGGGAAACTGAAGACCAGTCGGTGAGTCATGATACCGACACTTATATTTCATTTAATGGGGTTTCACTAAACAATTTCATATATAAACTTTAATTATTATTGTGGTTACATTTTCCTATAAAGACAATGCAAAACATTTATTGCTGGAAATTACTTGAAATTGTGATGAAACTGGGTGCAAAAGCATTCATTGGAAAGTAAGTCTTTACCTGAAATAAAATGCTTTGTGATATATTTTAAGTAAACTTTATAACTTTGTGCTTCTTGAATAATTATAATATATAAAAAATAAAACAACCAATACCTCTAAAACCTCTAAAATACAATATATAATCACAGGTACTCCTTGACTTATGACCTACTCGATTTACGACCACCCGGACGTACAACCGCCGCAGTCATATAGAATATTTTTCAAATTACGCATTTTCGAATCTCGACGTTAGTGATCGCGCTGTGTACTGACAGAATTTTCTATGTAATATTTTCGCATTTTCGACTTACAACCTGGTCGTCGGTCCCTAACCCCGTCGTAAATCGAGGACTGACTGTACTGTAACATGGACACCATAGAATAAAATAAGTGGCTTGACACATCAGTTTTACCAACTCACTTGGTCAACAGTGAAACTTGTATTTGCCTTATCATAGAATTGGTGTTTTATGATTTAGAGGATGTAATTTATTTAGTGTAAATGGCACACTCGGTGGTTATCCTGCTGGATCGGGATTACCAGGGAGTATGTCTTGTCTTCTCAACATCATGCTTGTAATATTTGGATATAGTTTTCTTCGTAATTCTAAACGTTAGTGATATTTTTTTCCTTATTGAACTTGTTTTGTCATTGAGCTTGAAGGAGATGACCCCTTCAAATAACTGGTTAACTCTTGGAATATGGAATAAACAATTATGCAAAGTTGAGATGTATACAGTACAGGTTGTACCTCTCTAGTCCGGCAACCTCGGGACCTGACCGGTGCCGGACCATGGAAATTCACCCTTTTCCTGGATAGATAGTGACTTGTGCTTATGCCTGGAAGCACTAGCACCACTTTCTCTGCGTCATGGTCTCTTTGAAGACATATTGAAGGGTTAAATGTCGTATAGTAGCTTCTCAAATTTCGCGAGTTTTTAATTCTTAACGTATTTTATTGGAACACAAAAAAATAAATAAATAAAAATTTTGACGGCGGAAACTTGAATTTCGACGGGTTTGAACGGCCCGCCAACGTGCAGACGACGTGCATAATCGTGTAAACAGCGTCATTTCTCTTATGTACAAAAGATTCATTATTGTTTATTACTGAATGTCTTTTTTATTGAATTAATGTTTATGTGTGCAAAATGAGCAATACAATTCATTAATAATACGTAGAATATTAAAACACACGAGGAAATGACACAGCATTGTTTTCGTTGATTACAAAACCAGTGACTGACTGGTTCTACATATAAAACTGAAGAAAATAAGACCTTGGTTGTAGCTGTAGTAAAATTAATATGGTTGTTTTAAGTAATGTTATTTAATGTTAATAAATGGAACAATAGAAGTAGCTAACGATAATGGTAAAGAAAAAGAGAGATCGCATATGTAAGTGCGCATGCGCACACGTGAAAACATATCGTCATTACTTTACATAAGAATATGAAAGCAACACTTATTTACTGTTCATATATATTTTAATTAATGTTTCTGAATTTGTTTTTATTGAATCAATGTACGTGTGTGCAAAATTAACAATACAATTTATTAATAATACGTGGAATATTAGAGGAGACGAGACGGCTGCCGGCATTGTTTATGTTAAAGCTTACGAAACCAGTGACTGATTGGTTCTACATATAAAACTGAAGAAAATAAGACCCTGAGTTTAGCTGTAGTAAAATTAATGTAAAAATTGAATATGGTTGCTTGAAGTACCTGTAATGTTATTTCATGTTAATAAATGGAACAATATAAGTAGCTAACCATTAATGGTAAATAAAGTGAGACTGCTCGTATGTAAGTGCGCACATGTGAAAATATATCGTCATTACTCTACATAAGAATATGAAAGCAACACTTATTTACTGCTCATATATATTGAAGGGTTAAATGTTGTACTCTGTATAGACAAGCAGAGAGAGAGAGAGAGAGCAGCCGAACTGCCGGATGTAAACAAACCTTAATTTCCCGCGGTTTTTTTTTATTTTTTTTTTAAGGGGATTAGCTCACCCGGGCATAGGTCACTGACCCACATTGGGGCCTGAGGGGCAAAAATTTAATACTCCTGTAATAATAATAATAATTTAGATAAGTAAAAAAAAAAACTGCCTGTCTACCTATTGGACAAACTAAAATCGTTCCGGACCACGGGAGTTTCCGGACCACAGAATGCCGGACTAGAGAGGTACAACCTGTATATGTTTCTGAATACAGTACTGTACGAACTTCCACACAACTACCCTCCCAAGGGGTATGTTGAACTTCGATAAATTGGACTAAGTAGGGCAGAACCCAGTCCAAAAAAAATGAATTTATGGAAGGGGGGGTGGGAATAGGGTTGCTCATCTGGACTTTAAATAAAATCAGTTGTTGTTATAATGCATAAGAAGGTTATTAAAGCACTATTACATCAACAATAGAAAATATAAACAAAACTCTAGGTTGAAAATCAGGCATATAAGTCTGGTTGTCAACAACTGTTGTCACCAAGATGATTGTTATTTACTACTGTAAAGTGTTATATGTAACTAACCACAGAATTTATCTGATAAATAAAAGAGGAAACTGTATACTGTACAGTACTATAAAGATATAAATTAGAAAAAAATAATTGTAAGGGTATATTGTGTGTGGGATATGACTGTTTTGGAAGCAGCAGGAGGGAGGGGGAGCAAGGGTCGTTGGCCCCCATCCCCAATGTACCTTTAATACGTCTTTATGCAAATTCATCATAATTCTCATATCATTTAGGCTCATTTGGTTCTGGATTGATAAAGTATCATAAAAGAATCCACTTTCCTGAAAAAAGAATCCTATACTCACCATGAGTCGTTTGTTTACCCAACATCCATCTTCAGTAAATTAGTACAGTACTGTTGTATATTTATCAGCACTTAAGTAATATTGTAGTGTACAGGGTATC